GGAGTGACGGTTCAACAGTGACATTACATGGGAGGACTTCAGAGATGCAAGAATTCCCTCCATTTCTCCCAGTGACTTCAGTTTGCAAATCACCCAAAGTCAAGATGGATCGGATCAGGTTGATCCGTGGTGATTGAGGAGAACAAGAAAAGCTGCAAGAATTGGTTCAGCCATCTTCCTGCATCCACGTTCACGATCTTGAAACGCCCCTTTGAACCCCTTCCTACCCTGGTAGTGCTTGGCTGGCCAACTAAAGGCCTTGTCATGCAAGAGAAAAGGCCCCAACAGTGCCAAGAGGGGTTTCGCAAATGGTCACTGTTTTTTTTTGTCTATCTATACCGCCTACATCAGAATAGTCGAGTCCCTACCGCACACACTCCAACTCTCTAACATGGAAGGTGGGAAAACACATGCGTATCGCTCAAAGGATTCTTTAGTTTCTGATCACTGCCATCTTGGGCGTCTGCTAGATCACCCGAAGATTTCGGCATGCGCAGCGCGCAATCCTGGAATCCTGGGATAGATGTCTCACGAAAATGAAGCTCGGACCTGTGCACCTTGATGCATCGAACGAATCCAAATACCCAACCCAGTGCATCCCAGGCAAACCACGTCTATAAGGAACCAGGGATTCGTTCGGTCTATGGTTTTAGTCGAACTGGAACCACTGGTGACCAGCTACATCGTGGGAACTGCCTGGATGCCCTGGGTCCAGGTCCGCCCCCCTCCGACCGACGGATCCAACGGGAGATCGAACGGTCTCGCTCCTCTGGCATGGTCATTCGAGGAACCACCAAGCCCGGCGTGTGCACCTGGGTCAGACCGATGTTTGATGGATGGATGGATGGGATTTTCTTCAAGAAGTGCGAAGCATGATTGTTGGGTTGGGTGTCTGGTCGGTCAAACAGAAATAGGTTCTATATAATATGGGTTCTATAACATGGCTGTCAAGAACGTAACATGAACTCCCATGCGCGCTAAAACTGAAACCGGATGCACAGGGTAATTCAGTAGACTGCTGCAACATGAACTCCCTGCATAAACATAGATCATCGAGACTAAATCTAGAGACAACAAGAAACACTTATATATACAAACTGATAATCACATGATATCAAATGGTTTCCTGGAATACCATTCCAATCCATTCCAGATCCACAATCCCAAAGTCACCCATTAATGTCTTGTTTAAAATGGTGTCAAAACATCCCCATGGGTCATGCCCCACAGCATTCACTCTAAAACGAGGATCTAAAACCCATGTCATAGAGATCTAGTGTCACTTCTGCGTTTTTATAGGGCATCACCCGTCTTTCTGGTGGAAAACGGTAAGGCGGTAAGGCCACAACTTTCCCAAAGGGGATTCATTGCAAAACCATGGGATGGATGGCAAGGATCCTCGGCAGGACGGATGACCACGAAGGTCACCCAAACCCACCAGGAGCAACTGTTTTGGGGTCTTCTGGCTGGACAGCTACGACTATTACGACTACATACTACATACTACATACTCCATATACTACTACACATACTACACATACTCCATAACTACTACTACTACTACTACTACTACTACTACTACTACTACTACTACT